CAATGGGGGTTGGAACTTCCAGATCAAAGCTGGAATGGCTACCCACTACAAGTAATTGTCTTTTTCTTTTTCTTTTCTTTTTATTTTTTTAAACAAGAACCTTAAATCTAATCTCCTTTGCTTAGCTCTTTTCCTAATCCTTGACAACAACTTGTAACCAACCCCCCTAAACAATGAAAATGATCCCAGACCCAAAACCCATTAAAAGACCAAAAAACCACCTGCCCCTCACCACCTCTTTGGGAATGTGGGCGTCGTATTCTTAAAATTGCTTCCTGCTGGGTATGGGTGAAGGTATCTTTATCCTGAAAAGAAAAATTTTAGGTTAATTGTCAAATTCTAGGAAAGGTAACTATATCCTTTGTTATCCAGTCTGTGTATAATGCCAAAGTTCAGGGTTTATTTCAAGTCCTTATTCAAGTAGTCTTTGAGACTGGATCATCTCAGCTAGCCCTCTCAAAATTGCTCTGAGCACTTCATAGTCTAAAGCTGATCTGTAGATGATGTTTGTCAGCTTAGTGATATTATTATTGTCCACATGGAATTGTTGTTGTTGTGGGGCCCCATCTTCTTCCTGGAGACATCAGTTGATGTTAGGCCTGGCCATGATTTCCTGCAGAAAACTGATAAGAGACTCGAACACAAAGACATATATATGCAGCTAATTGAAGCCTTTTTTTCTAGAATTAGTTAGTACTCTGTATGACCATTCATATCTTAACAAAGTTTAAAATGTTTCTGAGAGAACTATTAGGAGGTATTACTATAAAGAGCAGTCACCAGCCATCCAGATTGTACAAGAACAGGGCACAGCAACTTCTGATCTATCAAAGATACCAACAGCTCCAACTTTAGATTGGTTAATAGATGAGCATGTATAGGCTCATCAATGGCCTTTAGCAACAGAGAAACTGCAGGCCTTGGAGGAGCTGGTACAAGAGCAGTTAAATGCTCAGCATATTGAAGAATCAACCAACCCTTGGAATTCTCCTGTAATTTTTTTTTTTTTTAGTTTTTTAGGACAGGGTTTCTCTGTGTAGCTTTGGAGCCTATCCTGGAACTCACTCTGTAGACCAGGCTGGCCTCGAAATTACAGAAATCCATCTGGCTCTGCCTCCCAAGTGCTGGGATTAAAGGTGTGCACTACTGCTTCCTGACTCCTGTATTTGTTATTAAAAAGAAATCTGGTAAATGGAGAATGGTAACAGACCTAAGAGCAATTAACAAAGTAATTCAGCCAAGGGGCTGTCTACAATCTGGAATTCCTTTGCCTACTCTGTTACCGAAAGGATGGCCTCTTATAGTTATCAATTTAAAAGACTGTTTCTTTCAATACCCTTACAGGAAAAAGACAGAGAAAGATGTGCCTTCACAGTGCCTACTTATAATAATTCTCAGCTGGTCAAGAAATATCAATGGAAGATTCTCCTACAGAGAATGTTAAATCGCCCAACCCTGTGCCAATATTTTGTACAACAGCCATTAGAAGTAATATGTAAACAGTTTTCTAAATCTGTAATTTATCATTACATGGACAATATTTTACTAACTGATTCAAATGCAGATACTTAAGAAAGAATGTTAGAAGAAATAAAGAAAATTTTGCCTTGTTGTGGATTACAGATTACTCCTGAAAAGATACAAAGAGGAGATTCTATTAATTATTTAGGGTATAAAATGTTCTACAAAAAATTAGACCCAAAAGGTGCAAATTAGGAGAGATCAGTTACAGACTCTTAATGAATTTCAAAGATTATTCAGAGGGATTTCCCATCTATGAACTGTTGTTGGGTTAAAAAGTGATGAACTGAGTAATCTGTTCAAAACCTTAGAAGGTGACAAGGACTTAAATAGCCCAAGAGAATTATCAGCTGAAGCTGAGAGAGAATTGGCCTTGGTGGAAAAGAAAGTACAGGAAGGACATGTGGATCATGTTGATCCAAAGCTTGATTGCATTTTGCTTATTTTCTCTCTAAGCATTCTCGTACAGGAATTTTAATGCAGAGGGAAGATATTATATTGGAATTGATATTTCTACCAAATAAATCAAGTAAAAAATTAAAAACTTATGTAGAAAAGATATCTGACTTGATTTTAAAAGGAAAATTGAGACTTTGTCAATTAGCAGGAATAGACCCAACAAAAATTGTAGTACCTTTAACTAAGGATGAAATTGACAAATTATGGGCAGGAAATGAACCTTGGCAAAGAGCTTGCAGTAATTTTTTTTGGAGAGATTAACAGCAAATATCCCAAAAGTGATAGAATTCAAATTATAAAGAGAGCTTATTGGATTCTGCCTCGAATTGTTCTATCTGGAGTCTGTACATTTTATACAGATGCAAACAAACAAGGAAAGGTAGGTTTGCAAGTCAGAAAATTTAAGTAAGTGGTTCAAAGTCCTTATAATCCATTTCAAAAATCAGAATTGTATGCTATTCTGTTGTTATTAATGGATTTTTCTGAACCTCTCAACATAGTTACTGACTCTTAGTATGCTGAAAGAGTGGTATTACATATTGAGACTGCAGAATTTATCCCTGATGAGTCAGAATTAACTTTGTTATTTATTCAGTTACAAGATATAATCAGCAATAGGAAGCATCCTTTATACATAACTCAGATCTGATCCCATATGGGTCTGCCAGGCCCTCTAGCACAAGGTAATGATGAGATTGATAAACTCAGAATTCCATAAAAACATCATGTCAATAGTAAAGGTTTAAAAAGGGATTTTTCCATTACCTGGCAATAAGCCAAGGAAATTGTAAGGAAATTTCCTACTTGTTTTTTATAATCAGACTCCACTGCCAGCAGGATGTAACCCAAAGGGTACTCAGAGGAATGAAATCTGGCAGATGGATGTGTTTCACTTTGCAGAATTTGGAAAGTTGAAATATGTACACCACACCATTGATACTTATTCAGGAAATCAATGGGCGACTGCTCTGAGTTCTGAAAAAGCTGATTCTGTAATCACTCACTTGCTAGAAGTTATGGCCATCATGGGTATACCTGTACAAATTAAAACTGACAAGCTCCATCATATGTCTCTGTTAAAATGAAACATTTTTTGCTTATTACAATATAAAGTATATTACAGGTATACCACATAATCCTACAGGTCAAGCAGTCATAGAAAGTTTAAACAGAACTCTAAAGGATATGCTAAATAAACAGAAAGGGGTAACAAAAACACCCACAAATAGATTACATAATGTCCTATATTAACTTTGAATTTTCTCAAAGGTAATGAGAAAGGAACAACAGCTGCAGAGAGACATTGGATAATAGAAAAAAAGTACAGAATTAAACCAGCCTATATACTTTAAGGATGTGCTGACGTCAGAATGGAAACCAGGATATGTGTTACGTTGGGGACAAGGTTTTGCTTTTGTTTCTACAGGAGAAGATAAGCTGTGTATACCATCAAAATTGATAAAGGATTGATTTGAACAAGAGAGACCTCCTAATTAGAAGAGGTAATAGTTCATCGACCAGCATGACCATTCAATTTAAAACTAACTTAGACCGTTAACACATGCCTTTTCATTTAATCAGATATAACTTGCCAAAAGGGAACCTCCCCATAGTTAGGCTTGGGGAAGGGCTTTGTTTTTATCTTTCAGGAGAATGAAGGCTAAGGAATCTGAAGAACACTGGATAAATGAGACATCTGAAGAAAAGGGACAAATCATACAGAAAAAAAAATGTTTCAAGAGAAAGAGTAAATAGGCCTATTGGTATATCACATATGAAATTTCATAAGTCATCCTAAATGTTTGTTTCTGCTCTTCTTTACAGACACAACACAAATGGTCTTTTTGTAGTCCCAGTTCAATTGAAAATTAAAGCTGGCTTTGGAGTTGGAGAATGGCTTTCTCCTTCTCTAAACCCAAGCATGGTTATTAAAAGGAAAATGCAAAATCTCTGTATTGTGTCAGAAGAACCATCTAATATGGGACAGAAGAAAAAAAATTAAGTGATTATTCTATTGCCACTAATCTCAATTCATTGGTTCTACTTTGATTCTTTAAACTTTTCTTAAGGTATGAATTTTATATCAAAATGTATAAGATTAATATATATATATATATCTTAAACTTTTGTTATGATATTAATGATCATATAGAGTACTAACTAATTCTGGAAAAAAAAAGACTTCATTTAGCTGCCTATACACGTTTTTGTGTTTGAGTCTCTATCAGTTTTCTGCAGGGAATCATGACCAGGCCTAACAGCGAATCTGAAGTCTCCAGAAAGATGATGGGGCCCCACAATGACAATTCCACATGGACAGTAATAATACCACTAAGCTGACAAACATCATCCACAGATCATCTTTGGACTACAAACTGCTCAGGACAATTTTTAGATGGCTAGCTGAGGTGATCCAGCCTCACTGACTACTCCAACAAGGATTTGAGATAAGCCCTACACTTTCACATTATGCAGAAACTGGACAACAAATGATATAGTTACCTCTCCTGGAACTTGACAATTAACCCAAAATTTTTCTTCTCAGGATCCCCTAAAGATTCTTTCACCTACAAACAGAAGGAAGTAATTTTAAGAACATGATGCCCACATTCCCAAGAGGTGGGGCGGGTTGTTTATGGTCTTATGGGTTTGGGATATTTATCATTGTTTAGGATGACTGGTTACAGTTTGTTATTGTTAATGGTCAGGAAAGAGGCTAAACAAAGGAGATTAGATTTAAGGTTCTTGTTTGAAAAAAAAAGAAAAGAAAAAAAGAGGATATAGATAAGAGGTGGATTATTGAATCTGCTCTAAAGAAAGATATAGAAATGACAGAATAAAGGGTAGATTATTGAATCTACTCTGAAAAGAAAAAAGAGAGGATATAGACATGATGTAGATAAAAAGATAGATTATTGAATCTACTTTTAAAATGCAACTACTACTTTTAAATATTTTACATTGGATTGGATTTTTGTATATTGTATACAAATTATGTATATTGATACAAATTTGAGATTGAACTTTGTTATAAAATGCTGTATGTATATTTCTAATCTTGTTCAAGGTATTGTACCTATACAGTTCATTTAACAATGTAATGCAATTTTCTAATCCTTGAATGTTATTATTACCAACTGTTAGGATATAAAGAAATGAAAGTTAGTAGTTAGACATTACAATCGAACTTGTAGTCATACTACATACGTCCTCAAGGTCAAGCCGAGATATATTTTAGCTAGACAGGTCATCTTCAAACCCTTCAGAGATCTACAGAATATGGCATTTAAAATGTTTTAATAACAGTTTTTTTTCTTTTTTTATGACTATGAGACATGTCTGCTCCTGGCAGCCCCAATCTACTTCAGAGAAGATATGGGCAATGAAGAAACTGCATATGGAGTTAACTTTCATTGTGGCAAAAGTTAGCCACTGGGCAACAAAGTGCCCTCATATCAACTGCTGACAGTATGCTATCCAAAATGGACAAACAGGACACAAAACAAAGGACTATCAATCCCTGCCAAGACAACTGTGGTTGCAGCTTTGGCAACAGGCATCCTCTGAGGCCAGGACAATATGGCACCATCACTGAAGTGTCTTTGCAATCTGGAAAAGGTACAGTGCCCCTTTCTTCAAAGGCAGCTAAACAGGCAGTGGACCGATGGCTTCTGGTGTGCAGTGGAACAGCAGCTGAAACAGTTATTCTTGAAGGAATAACTAATGGAGTCTAACCTCTCAATGGTAGACTGGAATTTAATAAAGGAGATGAAGCCACCCACAAGCCAAGAAGAATGGGAAGCTGAATTCCAAAAATACCAGCAGTTACCAGAATTTAAAATCCTGAATCATGACAGAACACTGGCAGAATTCAAGTTTATCTGGTACATGGAATACTTGCACCAAATGTGAAGTCGAGCTATAGGCCTTGGATACATGCTGCTTCACAAATGTGTCTGTCAGATGTGCTAAGCCTGTAGGCCGAAGATGATGCCCCATTGTGCAGAGAAACCTCAGGTGACTGTCCAGGAAGCTAGCTGTTTCTGTCACAACTCACATTTTTTTTTGGAAGTCACTTGTTTGCAATTCCTGTTTTACTAGGTAATATTATTTCCTTCTTGGGTCTCTGAGGGAGTTGAAGATTAGATAGTTGTAGTTATAGTTTTCCTTGTTAAGAAATTCAGAAAAGAAACTCACTAAGATATGTTAAGTGTGTAAGTTTGAAAGACATCATAAGATAGTTTTCTGTTGGTAATACAGATAGGATAAAAAGTGAATTAGGTACAATTTGGACTCACCAAAATAGTATAGATAATGGAATATTTTCTCTGAATTTGTCAAATGGAAATGGACTGGACATTGTTGATGTATTTATTGTTTGTATATATTGTATATAGTTATTATATTTTTTGCATATAGTTTTTCTTATATTACTTTTAACTTTTATTTTTTATTAGATAAAAAAGGGGAAATGTGGTGATATTGTATTTGTGCTGAAATGTGGTGATTTTTTTTTTTTGTGCTTTAATAAATAAAGCATGCCTGGAGGTCAGAGGAAATAGCAAGCCATTTTAAGTAAACAAAGAAGTCGGGCAGTGGTAGCACATGCACTTAATTCTATCCCTTAGCAGGCCACCCAGGTAGTGGGACTGGTACTCAGATTGCTGCCCTACCTCCTTGATGCCATGGATGATTTGGATATTCTTTTGCTGTTGTGTTTATTGTGATTGTTCTTGTCTTCCTATTGTTACTTAGTTTAGAAAAGAAACTTGAGGTTTTCTTGTTATGTTAATCAACTCTTGGTATTATAAATCAGCAAGCAGTTCTTAAAGATTTCACATTTCCTACTCTACATGGTAATCAACTGTATACATATATTTTTACCTGCCGTTTCAGAGAAATATCACTATGTATTTTCTATTTTACAAATTTAATTATTTAACCAAAGTAGTCAAATGAAAAGTAATCAGATCATGAACAAAGCTGTTTCCTGTGGTGTCTTAAGTTTTCTACCAGATCACCATTTACCTTGACATCAATTAGAAGATCCATCTTGATTGACATATCTTAGAAAGATAGATGTGAAAAGAGCATAGTTTCAGAACAGAAAAATGGAGGAAGTAGGAGTTAACCTAGGCGGACTGTGAGCCAGGCTCAGAACTACAATTCCCAGCAGGCGATGGGGCATCAGAAGGCAGCTGCTGGAGAGCGTGATGCCGAATTCCTGCGTCTGCGCGTGCGCACTGTGGTGATGGACCGTTGGTAGGTAGTTCGTGGGCAGTTGGGGGCCCCCGGCATCACTTTTCGTCGCCTTTCGTCGTACTCTGAAGTGGTAGTCTGAGAGATAGGCAGATCTTCAATTAATAGACACATTCAAACCCCCTGAATCCGTGGACACAATGAACAGGAAGCACCTTCAGAAGATTCCGGACCAAAGTAGCAACGTCACCACCAGCTTCATGTGGGGATGGGATTCCGGCAAGACTTTTGAACTACTATCAGGTATGGGTGTCTCTGCCTTGGAGAAGGAGGAGGTGGACAGTGAGAACATTCCACATGAACTACTCTCAAACCTCGGCCACCCCCAGAACCCTCCAAGGAAATGGCTAAAGATCAAGGGCCGCGACAAAGACTTTGTGATCTTCCGTAGGCCTAAGCTCAATCAAGAGAACTTTCCAGGTGTTTCCTGGAACTTGCTTCCAGATGAGCTGCTCCTTGGAATCTTTTCCTGCCTGTGCCTCCCTGAGCTGCTGACAGTCTCTGGAGTCTGCAAGAGGTGGTACCCGCCTCTCACTCGATGAGTCCCTCTGGCAGTCCCTCGACCTCACAGGTAAAAATCTGCACCCCGATGTGACTGTCCGCTTGCTTTCTCAAGGAGTGATCGCCTTCCGTTGCCCACGATCGTTTATGGAGCAACCATTGAGTGAAAGTGTCAGCCCTTTTCGAGTACAGCACATGGACCTGTCGAACTCAGTTATAAATGTGTCAAACCTCCATGGGATTCTGTCTGGGTGCTCCAAGCTGCAGAATCTAAGCCTGGAAGGCTTACAGCTTTCGGATCCCATTGTCAACACTCTCACACAGAATGAAAACCTGGTGCGACTAAACCTTTGTGGGTGTTCTGGATTTTCTAGATCCGCTGTGGCGACCCTGCTAAGCAGCTGTTGCAGACTGGTTGAACTGAATCTCTCCTGGTGCTCTGAGTTCACTAAAAAGCATGTGAAAGCGGCTGTGGAACATTTATCAGCAACCATCACCCAGCTCAACCTCAGTGGCTACCAAAAGAACTTCCAGAAAACAGATCTTTGTACCTTAATTAAACGGTGCCCCAACCTTGTCCACCTCGACTTAAGTGACAGTATCTTGCTAAAGAATGACTGCTTTCCAGAATTTTTTCACCTCAACTACCTCCAACACCTCTCACTCAGCCGGTGCTATGATATAATACCTGAAACTCTACTTGAACTTAGAGGAATTCCCACACTAAAAACACTACAAGTTTTTGGAATCGTGCCAGATGGTACCCTTCGGCTGTTGAGAGAATCCCTTCCTCACGTGCAGATTAATTGTGCCTATTTCACCACCATTGCGAGGCCAACTATGGACAGCAAAAAGAACCCAGAGATTTGGGGTATCAAGTGCCGACTGACTCTGCAAAAGCCCAGTTGGATATAAAGTGCTTGCTGCAGGATCATGTCTCCTCTTCCTTTGGAATGAGGAACACAGGCAGCAAATCCAGTTGCTAGAGACCTTGGTTACCTTTCCTCTTGGATTTACCTTAGCCTTCATTGTGCGTGTATGTTAGGGAAGCATTTGCAAGGGAGAACTGTGAAATGTTGCTTTTTCAAGAATACAGAGATGATTCTGTCAGTGCTGTGCCCTCAGAGGTGATGTGTTAGGTCTTTGGAAATTTTAGGTGAACCTGTTATTTCAAAATAGCTTTTTTAAAGCAAAATTTGCGCCAACTCTTCCAAGTGCCCTTCAAATTAAGTCTATTTAGAATCACATTTTAAAACTTACCCCGGCTAACAGTTTTCATGGTGTTTGTCATAACTTTTTGTATATGTAATTATTCAGTATTTTATAAAACTTGATTTTGAAGAACAATAAGCTGTGTGTGGTGAGCTAAATGGAAAGACTCATGGGCTGGTAGCATTTGAGGCAATCTCTTCTGGGAATTAACACATTTCAACTTTGTGTGCAAGTGGGAAGTTAGTTTAATAGAAACATAGTCCTGCATAGTGTACCTTGAACTCTAAATGAGAAACAGCGAGACACAACCAGAAGGACAGAATAGAATTTGAAGCCTCAAAAGGCCGTTTCCCAAAGTCAGGTTAATATGAAGTAGCCTTTCATGTTTTTGGGTACTATGCTATGTTCCCAGAATCCTAAATTAGGTGAGGAAATCTAATTGTGTTTTTTTAACTTTATAATCAATGTATGTTATGTGGGTTATTTAGCTTTTAAAAATACTTGCTTTGTTTCTAGAATTATGGTATTATTCTAATCAGCATTCTTGAGAAGTTGGATAGAATTCTGAGCTGATCTTGTTTGCTGTTTCTTCCTTTAGCGGTGCAGTTATTTTTATATTACTCTGCAATCAAGGACTTGAAACTCTTAAGTGGTCTTTCACAACAGTAGCTTGAAACTGCCCATTAGGTTACTGGATCTAAAGTTCCTTAGATAGAACTGCTGGTTTCTCTCCATCAGAAATGCACGAGAAGCAGGTGTGTGTGCAGCTTCTGAGCAGCTGGCACGACTTGCACTTCACCTAAGTTTTTAAAACTCACTGGGCATTAAACCTTTTGATAACAGATGTATTTTTTTAATCTGATAGACAGAAGCAAAAAGATCAAATTGTGTTTCTTAGAAAATGAAAAAAAAATGCAATTACCTCTTTTGACTACGACAGAGCCACAATACATTTCTATTAACTTTTTCATCAAAAACTTTACTGTTACAACAATAATATGAAGTGCCTTTATCTGCTCAGACCTAAAGAGCATTTTAAAAAGTGTAACACAGGAATGATCATGCTAAGGTTCCCACATAGTTAAAGTGCTAACTATGACTTGAAACTATTGTTTACAGATTAGAGACAGGCTGACCGTGGGCTCTGGTTGGACTCTGGCCTCCAGCTGCCCCAGACATGCAGTTCCTGTTCTTCTTTACTCAAGTCCAGCTGGGAGCTATTTTGCCAACATTTTGCAGTAATCTGTATTTTTTATGCAATTTCTATGTTTATAGACTCATTTTAAAATAAAGTACTTTTTTTTTTGGTTTTTCCAGACAAGGTTTTTCTGTGTAGTCCTGGGTCTTGCTCTGTAGACTAGGCTGGCCTCAAACTCACAGAGATCCGCCTGGATTAAAGGCATGCGCCACCGCTGCCCGGCTAAAATAAAGTACATTTTTATAAAAATGAAAAAAAAAAAATTTAAAAAAGCAGCATAGTTTCAGTAGCATTAGGAGCTAGTGAATTATGATTTTAAATTCCAATTACTCCTTAATGAATGAAGCAATAAAAAAGTTTTAATACCAGAAAAAAAAACAGGATATTTACTAATGGAAAATCAAATAAATCTATGTACTTCTAATGGACATTTAGGGGAAAACATGTGTGTGTGTGTGTGTGTGTGTGTGTGTGTGTGTGTGTGTGTGTGTGTGTACTTCAGATTTTTATACCTTAAGGGGGTAGTAAACAGTGGGGTTTTTTTTCTTCCCAAGGTGTGTATGAGAAGTGAAAGACACTGTGTTTTTACTTTTTAGGTTGTTATATTTGTTTGTTTGTTTGTTTGTTTGTTATGTGGATGCATAAATCAGAAGATGATGTTATGGAGTCTTTTCGTTCCTTCTACCATGTAGACCTTGAGGATAAAACTCAAGAGGCTTGGTGGCAAATACCATTACCTGCTGAGCCATCTTAACAGGCCCAATACTGTGTTCTAAGTTTACTTAAAGAATTACGTGGCCGGGCAGTGGTGGCACACACCTTTAATCCCAGCACTTGGGAGGCAGAGCCAGGCAGATCTCTGTAAGTTCGAGGCCAGCCTGGGCTACAGAGTGAGTGCCAGGACAGGCACCAAAAACTACACAGAGAAACCCTGTCTCGAAAAAAACCAAAAAAAAAAATACATAAATTGTCATTTCCCAAGTGTATTTGATATCACCACTATTCTCTGTTATGCTTTGATTGTTCATACATCAAAAATTTGATCCACAATGCTGTGGTGTTGGAGTAACAGAAGAAAGGCCCAATGGAAAGGAAGTTATGAAGACACACTCTAAGGAAGACTACTGCACCAATAGAGTGGGTTCTGTCACTCTGGCATTTCTCCTCTGGCTTTCTGTCTCACTCCATGCCCCTTATGTTTTCTGCCACAGAATTTGCCAGGATGCTAGATTCTGGTTCTGGTTTTTAAATATTTATATTAAGTTTGTTTCCAGAGAATTTTGTACCTTTAAGCAGTGGATAATGATCACTCTCACCTCCACCTCCCCAGGGTATCCTATTCACTCACCTTCACCACCAAGTTTTCTCATTCATGAATATTTTTCTTTTGTGACCACTGCTGTTAACCAGGGCTGTCTGTGTGACCATAGGTTTAGACATGTCTTTTGGAGCCTGGTGAACTCAGCAAAGGGTACACAACTGAAGACAGTAGTTCTCCTTATCAAAAGCCAGAAGTTCAGAGGTCAAATGTGGTTGCTATACTTAACTTACTGCTAGTGTTTGTTTTGTGTTGGCCCAGCACAGTAACTGAAGTTGTGAGTTAATAATGTTAATAGTTGTATTGAATCTGCAGAATGGTGTTTCATACTCCTTCACCCCTTTTCTGGCTTGTATATACTTCTGTCACCTCTTCTACAATGTCCCCTGAGCATTAGAAGAGTGTTTAAAATGTCTTATTTGGAGATGAGCACGATGCCATTGCTTTTTCTCTGCCTCTTGAGCAGCTGTGATTCTCTGTGTTCTCTGCTGTTGATAGCAACATCAGCCTTTTCTGATTGATGATAGGGGCAGCTTTCCTCTATGGCAGTGGTTCTCAGCCTTCCTAATGCTGCCACCTTTTAACACAGTTCCTCATGTTGTGCTGACCCCCAACCATAACATTATTTCCTTGCTACTTCATAACTGTAATTTTGCTACTGTTATGATTCATAATATCATAAATATCTGATATGCAGGATATCTGAAATGTGACCCCTGTGGGGGTCATGACCCACAGGTTGAGAACTGCTGCTCTTTGGAGAAAAGAATCACTTTGTGATGGGACAGGACTAGTGTAGGTCTTGGTGGAAGCTAAATGATGTTAGATTTCTGAGGCAGCATAAAGACACAGAAAGAGCAGAAAGATATCAGAGTCAGACCTTCAACAGATGGGACTGTTTATTAGCACACACAGTGGGGGACAGCTTCTCTTTGGGAAATTGAGGAGTCTACCAAGGGAAAAAGCTGGCTATTACCCTTTATGGGGTTGGGTGAGGAGCTTAAGAATGAGAAAAATGTTAAAGCTGTAGCCCATGTTTCTCTCCAGCACCTTCTTCCTGAAATTGTTTGCCCAAGGTAAGACAGGCTACCTTGGGAGACAGGCTGTCTGCAGAGGCTTTCCTTGCCGTGCTGACTGACAAGACTGAGCAAAGTCATCTGGAATCTCAGAGGAATCCGGTTTTCCCACAAAGATACTCTATCAAATGAGATCATGGTCATTAGGACCAAGGGAAACAATACTGAGGTGGAACCACTGAGGCAGAACAAAAGGAGAAAAGTGGAAGGCTTGATAGGGCAAAGAAATGACTGAGGTACTTGAGTCTCTTGGAAGTATGCTGAGATGAGTTCAGAGGCTGAGTGGGACTGGCCAAAGTCTCAGAAGGAGTGGAAAGAACTTACTGGGGCATTGAGACCATGCAGAGATATGATGAAGGGAACCAGGGTGTGGCTTGATGGGCAGAGCCTTGGCAGGGGAGGAATAACTTAAGGAGGCATAGGGACTGCTTGGATACTCTGGCAGAACCAACAGGCCAGAGTCTAATTAGCAGCAGGAAACTCACTAGACCACAGTGGTTCTCAACCTTCCAAATGCTGTGACCCTTTAATACAGTCCCTCATGTGGTGACCTCCAACCATAAAGTTATTTTGTTGCTACTTCATAATTTCTATACTGTTATGAATCAAAATGTAAATATCTGATATACAGGATATCTGATATGTGACCCCCTGCAAAGGGGTTGCAAGCCACAGGTTGAGAGCAGCTGCACTAGAGTAGAGGGAGCCCATAGTATAATGCTTAAGATCTGGACACCTTATACTGTCAAGGAGAGTTGGAAGCTGACAGCAGCTACCAGACCTTCTGTCAATGCACAGAATGTACAGACTCTCACCTTCTGCCCGAGGTAGTAAGGGAATTTGTGAATGATCTAGCAAAGCCAGGAAATTTCCACAATTATAAGGTGATTCAGACCTAAACCTTTACCTGAATACTTTGGTATTTCAACATGTGACAGGCCCCAGATTTTTTTCCTTCTTTACAAGGGGCCTCTCACATCTCCTCTTTGATAAACTTATGTCAGACTTTTCCTATCTGACCAAGGGTGCCTCAGATTTATCTCTTCTACCAAGGGTTACTCAGACAGTTCCCTTATACTAAGGGGACCTTATATAGTCCCCATATACCTAAGAAGTCATCAGCCCTCCCATCTCTAATCAGATGCGAAGTTCTGCTGGTTTCTGTTCAGAAAAGATGGCTTTGAGTAACCCTTGGTTCACCAAAGAAGGTTCCAAGCCTGTTGTGGAAGAAAAACAATGTGTAAGGTTTCCTTGGCCTCAGATCTTTTCACTCTGCCCAAGGGGACCTCCAATCTACTGTGCCCAAAAAACATTAGTCTTTACCTATTTTTTCAATGGGAACTAGGGCCTACACTTTTTACAAAGTGGATTTCTACCCTCCTCTCCGCCCATGAGGGCCTCAGAAATGCTCCTGTGTACACATTTGTCTAAGACCCAATCCCTATCACTAGAAGTTCCTCAGATCTTCCATTTTTGTTTACTGGGGTTCACAAGTGCCCTCTATGACAAAGGGGCACTAAATCTTTTTAAAATGGGACCTAAGGTCTTGCACCTCGGGCCAGGGGTCCCTCGGAACTATACTTTCAGCTGAAATGTACCTCAGACTTTCCTCTTGTGTCCAAGGACACAAAATGAATCTCTGAAAGAGGGGCAGTAGAATTTCCATCTTTTCTCAAAGCGGCCTGCTTCATTGTCTTCCTCTAGGTGCCTCAGGGCTTCTCCTAGTTCATGCAGGTCCTCAGGCCTTCCCTTTTTGTCCAAGGGACCTCAGAACTTTTATCTCTTGCTAGGGGAGCTTGAAAACTCACCCCATGACCAAATAGGCCCAGCATTCCCCATCTGACAAAAAATCAGGATTAATTCCTATAACCAAAGGGGCCAAAGATTTACTCCTTGTGACCACAGGGTCCAGGGATACTCGTTTCTAATCAACAGATCTTCAACAACTCTGGTATGAGGTCTCCAGTGCCAAGTTTAGCAGTTGGAACTCAGAATCCAGTAAGTCATCAGAAATGGAGTGCCCCCCCCCATCCATCCTTCATGTCCAGACTTGGGCAGCTAAGCATACATGAAGAGGGGACATAGCTAGAGTACCATCCATCCTGTTGGAAGAAAACTTA